GACGCACCCGCCTCGCGTTCCTCAACCCCCTCAACCAGTCTCCTCACCCGCTTCACGGTACTGATAAACGGGCTTTTCGCACTGACGTAGATTATCTTGGGCGTGTGCGCGGATGTGCGCGGGTTCGCGAGCGCGGGGTGTAGGAGGGGGCGTTTTTGGATTTTGTGGGCTAGGTGGGGGTGGGGGTTGTTAGCTGGGTTTTGGGGGTGGGTGCGAGAGAGGGAGGGAAGAGAGGGAATAGGTACTTGGAGGAAGGCGGGAGAGCTTTTTGGGCTTGGGATGTGGGTGCGGTTGAGGTGGAGATTTAGATGTAGATGAGGATTGTGGTGGTGCTTCTTTTGCCATTTTTTGTGTGGGATGGAGGGGTGTGTGCAGTTTGATTAGAGTGGCATGGAATCGTATCGAGTGGGGATTTGGAGGGAAATACGAAGAAAGTTGATCGATGTATGTATTTGTGTTTATGTATAGAAAAGAAGTTGAATTAAAGAGCAGAGGTTGGATATTATTTCTCCAGATTCGGATCGGAGCTTGAATTTATACACCGCCCGGCAGAATCTGTCACAAGCTCGCTCAAGCTTCACCACTAATGTACCCCACACTTTCTCAAATACCGTACCGTACACCACGACAACAAAAACGTACCTACAGAGTAAAGATAAACACAAACGTAAGCATGACTACAGCAGTATATCCACATCTACCACCGGACACGCTGAAGAAGGAGGAAGATGATTCTACTGTATGTTCTCCAATCAACACCCCCTCCAAAACCACATCCACATCTATATCGGCGTACACATATATACATAGCGCTATCCATACACAAACACAGCTAACCAACCAACAGGCCCGCGAATTATCCTGGCTCCTCGAGTCCCTGCAGGAAACCCTCGTGTCGCTGAAATCCGGACTCGAGGAATGCTACGCCCTACTCGCGCCCATCGAACCGGGGAGTACGCTCGTGATGAGCAGTCCAAGGAGTGAGAGCGTCAAGGGACATGTGACGAGAGTCGGGACGAGGATTGTTAAGGGGGTGTGTATTGCTCCTTTCCCATTTATCTTCTATCTTTCATTCTCCCTTGATTAAGTACCTTACCTTACCTTACCTTACCTTACCTTACCTTACCTTACCTTACCTTACCTTGCTTCAGTATCTTGATTACCCTATACATTAAATCATGGCGTGTTATTTATATAAGAGAGCTAATGTGGATATACCAGACTCTACACCTCCGTCTCAAAACCCTCCCCCACACACACATCTCCCTCACACCCGCCCTCCCCGCGCTAGAATCGCTCCGGGACCTCCTGAACCAAGCGCTAGACTGTGTCGATATCACGCGCTGGACGGGGGACCGGCACTCAGCTGCTTTTATATCCGGCCAACTACGCTTACTACACTCTATCCTCGTCTCTTCCCTCTCCCTGCTCTCCGGATCGCCCCTTTCCTCTTCCTCCTCTCCCTCTCCCTCATCCCCGCCCTGGACATCCACATCTACGCCCCATTCCCCCTCCGACCCCTCCTACCCACCGAACCTCTCCCTGCACCTCACGCCCTCGGCTGGCTCTCTGATCCTCACAGTCCGCGTCCTAGAGCCCGTCACCGCCGAGCCCTCTCTAGGACTCGTCACCAAACTCGCCTTTGCGATTGGCGCACAGCGCCGCCTAGAGCATGATGAGATGGAGGGGGTGTTTGTGGTAGCGGGGGAGAAGGTTAGGGTGCGCGAGAAGGTCGTTGTGGAGAGTAGTGCGGATCCGATGATGCTTGTGCTAGGGGCGAAGCTGGGGGCGCTGGAGAGGACGGTGGAGGCGGGGAGGGTGGGACTGCGTGTTGTGTGTGGGGAGGAGGTGGATGGAGATTAATGAGATACATGGTGATGCTGTCTTTGTGATGTGAAGTGAGGATTCACATTATCTAGATCTCCTCATCTTTTCCATAAATCTTGTGCAGGCTTTCTCGCACCCAGCAAAAAATGCCCTGAAGTCTCCTATCTTCTCTAAGCTACACTATTCACTACCCCAAACTAGTCATCTTGCACTATATCACTATAAACCCCCCTCCCCGGTCCTCTCCTCTTCCATTACCCCCCTCCTACACCCAATGTACCCAATTCACACTCCATACTGCTAGTCATGTTCACAGACCAACCGACATAAACGGCGTCTAAACCCATCCATCCATCCATTCATCTCTCTCACTCTCTCTCACCACACAAAATAACCAATCTAATATCTAGTCTTACTTCCTGACTTCTCATTCAGCTTATTTTCTTCAATATCCTCCGTAAGACAGACAGATAGATATATATCTGCTGTCGATTTACACGTTCGTTCGTTCATTCAATTATTCATCTGTTCGTTCGCAACCCCAACAAATATACCCCGTCTATACCTCACCTCCACCTTCCCCACTCTTCCACGTACATACATACACTCCAGCCTTCCGGTATCCACCTACTTACTGTCACGAATCCTATGCTTGTATCTTCTATAGCCCTGGGTAACTCTAATGTAAATTAAATTGAATTTAGAGTAAGCAGTTCTCGAAATCTCAATTTCTAGTAGAAACCAGCTGAAGATGTACGGGTGTGGTGATACTGGGTGGAGATGATCACTAGTAGGCTACATTGTGTAGAAATAGATTTCTCGGATATGATACAACCGATGATTTTATTTGGTTGATTTGCTTTCACACCCACCGAAAGACTATGCATGCAGGCTTGCCGTGAAGTAGAAGGAAAGTTTCTAGCGTATCGCCATCATGGCTGCAACAGTATACCATCTGAGCATGCCTCTCAACCCATATGCAGTGATACACCAACAGCCCTTTGTTTTGTTTTTCTTATGTCCAATTTTCTTTCATTCCCAAATCCTACAGTTCAGTCCATGCCCTCCAATGACATACTCCATTCAAGCAACAGGAGACCAGGGCATAGGAATCAAGATCCTGCTCTTCATCTCCTGGATCAAAGGCACAGTCTTATGCACGGTATCTCCCCAGCCCTCCACACTCCAGCTCTGCTCCCTCCTCACCTTGCGCTCCTCGAGATCCGCAAACTGCCAGAGATGATGCACCGTGTTCAGCTCGCCGATTTGCACAAACCATGCTCCGACACCCTCCATGACTTGTCGTCTCGCTCCCAATCCGCGGCGCCAATGGGTCTCCCATTCCAGCAGGTTGCCGGGGTGCAGTGTGTATGAGCGCAGTTCGAAAACACCGCCTAGTTGGCGCGGAGCGGTGGTGGGCCAGAATGAGAATTCTTGCATGAGGGAGTTGCGTTTGCTTTTGATGAGGGATTTCAGTTTCTTGTCGAAGGCGGGGAATTCGGGGTGGTTTGAAATGCTGTGGAGGGAGTCGTGGTAGCCGTCGTAGCGTTGGTATTCCCAGATATGGACTACGAGCCATGATTAGTACAAATATCAGCGAGGGCGGGCTTTAGGGGCTTACCAAAAGTGTCACAATCACCCACTTCGGTCCTCCAGCTTCCTACAAGATGAACCTTATTCTCTGGCATTCCCGCCATCCTCGGATACCAGCTCCCAACCAACTCCACGTACTCATCCACCTTGTCGGGTTTAACCTCATGGAATACAATGCTGTGCACATACTTCCCCCTAGCCAAGACCTGCGAGAATGAATGCTCCATCTCCTTATCCATCTCCCTCCCCTCCTTGGTGCCATAGATCAAACTACTCAACTTGCCCTTCGCCGAATCATCTTCGGGTGTAGTTTCTTCTGCAGCAGACACAGATTGTGAGTCTATAGCATGAGTGGTGTGACTGTTAGAAGTTGATGATCTCGCATTGCTCGCACGTGGAGCAGTGGGAGAGGAATTGAAAGAGGGGGAGGGTTCTGCGGACTGACTTGCGGCTGCTTCTTTCTTCTTGGACTGATCTGCAATTCGCTTTCGGAACTCCTTCTGCTTCGCGTCGAATGAGGATACGCCTTCGGGGGTGATGTCTGATAGAGCGGGTGAGCGTTTGAAGGAGGCGCTACTGGTGGTAAATGCGCGGAGGAGGGTATTAGGGGTGCTCAATGAGCTTGAGTTCTTCAAGATGCGTCGGGCGAACATGATGTTGATTGAGGAATTCAAAATCAGGTTAGAAGTCGAGGTGGAAGCTGAAACAAAGCTTTCTGTCTCGCCTTGTAGCTGATGGCGAGGAATGAAGGCTGCCGTATCCGTATCCTATAGCCGTGGATGTCGGTTGCAGAGACGGAGAAGCAGAGAGGAGCCAGCAGATCGAGTACACAAGAGGGACAGAGAAGAAGCAACACAGACAAGGTTCGAGACACGCAGAACAGGCAAATTGATTGGATTGTTTGTGGAGGTTGTACTACCGGTAACTCACCCCGCACTTGGATAGCTGCAAGGAGCTTCGCATCTATGCGGAGAAAGAGTTGTTGACTGTGAGTGGCTGATTGCTTGGAGGCTTGCACGTGAGAGTTCTGTATGAAAGTCATCTAATCAACTTATTCTTCATATTGTATTCTTATAACTATATAGTGTAGTTATTAGAATAAAATGTATAATAATTGAGCGGGAAAAATTATTCAGTTACCAAGCAGACATGTGACTAGGTCACATGATAAATACTAGCCATATCCACCTTAGCGTCTTTCAAAATGCGGCTCTCGGCTTGCTGGAAACTCACATCACCAAAAGAAGCTCTCCTCCACCACCGACCCTCCAAGCCCATCAACCACCCCAAACCCCTCTTCAAACACAAACCCACCATGTCGTTATTAGGAAAGAAGTTCAACGCGCCATTCGGTATGTCCATTGGTGCCCCCATCCCGAGACTGAAAGCGCAATGAATGAAAGCTAATCAAGATTTCAACAGCTAAGCCATTGGCTCCCTTTTTCTTTGCCGGTACGCACATGACCGTCACGACACAATTCCCTTCGTACCGTGGTACTGGGTTGGGTAGAGCAGGATCTATAGAACACGCAGACTGACGCGCGAACAGGCCTCATCATGATGTACGGAATCAACTCCTTCGGCAACACGTTGATGAACAGTGAGCACTCCCACTCCATATCCATATCCACCACAGCTTCAATCCTCTTCCGCGGAACCTAAACTGATATGTGTCTACTAGCCGATGAATTCAAGAACGACCCGCGAAACCCCAACGCTGGCAAGGCGCAAAAGCCTGCGGAGAAGCACTGAGCGAGAGGATGCGTGGAATGGAGGGGATGGACAGGATGGATAGATATGTGGGAATGAATGGATGTGGAGCTTGAGAAGGGTAGCAGGCAATTGTAACATACGTCAATCAAGAAAGCCTTCACTTTCATTTGCTGCTTGGAATTGATGTTGAGATCGTGATTAGCAGAGGCTTGGTTTTGTTTCTTGGACAGTCGAGGGTGAGGAGTGCGGATATGGATCGGATATGATTAGGACTTTGGCTGGACACCTACCAAGTGATGTCGTCCTATTCATTGGCATTTATGAAGCTCCGGTATTTCTTAAGCAATGGACCAAAGTTGGCCAACATGCTGTATGCTCCAGCTTCCGCCCGAGTCTGCAAAGCTTGTGCTCCGTTCCTCATCTACACTTTCTATGTTCCATTACTCGTGAATCTATACACGGCTTCAAATGTTTCCAATCTCTTTTCTATTAAGTGGCCTACAAGACTACCATATTTAACCATCCCTCCCTTCGCACCTACAGGAATTAATACCGCAAGTCTCGAATCTCTATACCCGCATAGTCTACTGCTTATCCTGCATCTTTTATCTTTATTTAGCGCACTGAATTCCTAGTCACGGCATAGCCTTTTGTCTGTATCACTTTAGTAGTACTCGGGATTCAATCAAATTCCAAGTACCAAACCGCTCCGTTCGCTACGTCCCAGAGCCGCACCGTCTCGTATTAACCAGACACGACCTACTTTCCGTCAGGTAAGTAGGCCACGGAGGAGAACTATGAAGAGTAGGCCTCGAGCTTTTATATAACGCCACTCCAATTTCTTGCACATTCGATTTCCTCTCGATCCACAGTTTTGATCTCGATCAATGACTTCGGTTTTTTTTTCCTTTTTTTTTTTTTCTTCTTGAATCCATACTCTTTTTAGTAGCTACGCACTATGTAGAGGTCGTCTAATTTACAGTTCAAACTTTTAAGTTCACCTCCAAATCCCGGCTCAGGATGTTTAAGGCATAGGTAAATGACTCTAGAATCGAAGAAATATCATAAATAATAGTAAGAAAAACAGTCTGTCTCTTTCCCTCCACCTTTTCTTCTCTAGTTCTGACCTTCACCTCCACTTTCACCTTTTCCTTCACTATCCTCTTCTCCTGTCCTTTGGCTCCCGTCCTTTTTATCCGCTCTTGGGCCTCTAGAGGGCGTGTTTGGTAAGCTGCGGATAGGCAGTTGGGTTCGGCCTGATGGGGTACGTTTTCCAGTGCTGGATTTGCCCCGAATTGCGCTCCTTCCTATAGGTTGCCTGGAAGGGGTATTAGTTGGCGCTGCCTGTAGCGTTTCAGCACTGCTTTGCGGTCGTATAGTGGCAGGAGTAATTGACACCCTAAGCTCGTATTGTAATTGGCTGTCTGGCTCGGCCGGTTCCGGTGTTGCTGGTGCTGAATGACTTCGTTTGCAGAAATATTTCCATCGACTTTTTGTTTTCTCTTCACTTCCGTCCTTCGTGTGAATGGCGGAGCCTTGCATCTCGTTTTAAGACTGAGTTTCCTCATGCAACTCTTGTAGAGTAACATTATAGAACTCAAGAATACGTAGAGAGGTCAGGTGCTCCTCTCCAAGCGTCCTCTTCATTGCCTCGTACACCTTCTTGTACAGCTAGACCGCGTCCTGTCCTCGCCTAAGAAAGCTATATATATTCGCAAGGTTGCTTATTGCGATAAGGGTATGCGGGTGCTCCTCTCCATGCGTCTTCTTCATCGCCTTGTACACCTTTCTGTTCAGCTGCACCGCGTCCTGTCCTCGCCCAACATTGCTATAGCTACTTGCGATGTTAGCCATTGAGATAAGGGTATGCGGGTGCTCCTCTCCAAGCGTCCTCTTCATCGCCTTATACACCTTCTCGTTTAGCTGGACCGCGTCCTGTCTTCGCCCAAGATCGCTATAGCTACTTGCAAGGTTGCTCATTGAGACAAGGGTGGAGGGGTGCTCCTCTCCAAGCATCCTCTTGCTCGTCTCATACACCTTCTCTTCGAGCTGCACAGCACCTTGCCATTGACCACTTTCGCTTAAAACTCGCGCAAATCTATCAGCAACATTGCAACACCCTTCCGCGCCTATGCCACTAGTGAATAGTGTTTCTAGAGTCATGCCTTGTAGGCAAGTTGTAACATGGGACGCTAGAGATCTTCGAAAAGCGTATCCAGATATACTCTGCTCCCAAGAGATAGAGTCCGCGAGCAAAACAGCTGTCTTAAGGACTAATTTTCCTTGTTCTATTTCGCTGACTCTATCACAAGCCCAAGCGTGAACAAGCGGGTGTATAGAGAGGTCGTTACTCAAACTATCAACCTTTATTAGAGAGAAAGAGGAGAGTAGAACAATTGATTCCCGGAGATAGTAAGGGTCCCATGTAATAGAAGCATCTTTATAGACCCATTGAAATTGATTTAAGGCTGACCAGTCAGAACGTGTCTTGCCTATCTTGTTTACCCAAGCCTTTTGGAATATTTCCTCGGAAATTCCATCGAAGTGAAGGAATGAGAAGAGCCGAAGGAGCTCCAGCGCGTGGCTTGCGACCTCACTGCTCATCCTTTCGATCATATTAACAGAGACTTCCCAAGTCGTATAAACAGTATACTTGTAATCAGAGCTAGTTTGGGTAGGTGCACGACTTAAGAGCTCTCGTCGACGATGTTGATACATTCCACAATAGTCTTCTATCCGACATAACTTTTGCCTGATAGCAGCACCAGCTTGGACAATTGCTAGAGCAAGGTTGCCTAATGTCTCTGTGATAGTTCTGGCTTTTTCTCGTAAAGTGCTAGGTGATAGATCGTAGGCTTCGATAGACTTTAGGAGTAAGTCGATAGCATCATCAGTTCCCATATCTGCAAGCTCGTATGATCCCACTGTTTGATGATTTCTGCATTCGGGATTACGTGTTGTTATTAGGATAGTCCCTCTCGTACAGCTGGAAAGTAGTTGGAAAGATTGATTAACGGATCATCTGCGTTGTCGAATATTAAGAGCCATTGTTCTGTGATGTTCGAGAGCCAATTTCGGATCGACTGTAAATCGCCCTCGACCTGGCATATTTGACCAATTTTGGAGAACCCTTGTTCAATAGTCTGAATAGTGCTGCAGTCAATCCAGAATATGCCCCAGAAACTGAACTTTATTAGCTGATAAATTAGAAAGAGACGAGATATAAATACCTCTCGCGATAGTCTTGTGCAAATTTTAGTGTTGAAAAGATATGGGGCTGAAAACGCTGTGAACAACATAAAGCAGTCTAGATGTCCAAGACACTGTGAATAAAAGCCGACATGTCATCAACTCCATGTTGTGGATGGATCCAGTGGCCTCCCTTTTCGTATCTCGTCCAGGTAACATCAAATCCTAGATGCTTAATCGTTTGATGCAAGCCTTCGCCCAGGGCGAAAGGGACCGTCTCATCATCCTGCGAGTGAGCTAGGAAGACTGGGGTTGTTTTAGTAGCTTTTGAATCTATCGATAATCTGCTGATGCTTGCTTCTAGATTCACTGTGTCCGTTGTGTTGGTCGTCGTTCCTTCTCTAGCGTCTGCCTGCTCAAATAACGAAGCGTTCATCTCTGGAGAAACACTTAATATGCCCTTAATGTGTCGTGATATCTCGTTCTTGTTATTGATGAATCCAGTTGGGAGTCTTTCAATCTTGTTTTGAAAAGGCAGCCAGCTACACAGCCCAATAAACCCTCCGAGATCCAGACCGGCGGCCACCAGAGTGAGAAGAGCAGTAGCACAACCTTGGCTGATCCCACCGAGAATAATCCGCTCCAATGGAACCCTCTGCGCCTCTTCTTTAATAATCTGAAGAATGTCTTTGATACTCTCTTGCAGTCCCTCAATCATAAGCTCTTCCCTATCCTCAGGCGTTGCAATGTCCCAAACATCAAACCACTGCGATATAATTTCTTCGCCCTTTAGCGCTTCTGCGAACGAGCTATTGCTGAATTCAAAATCTCGCTGTGCTGAGTATCGGAGTTTAGCCGTCGGGAAGACCCATCGGATTGATGGAAAGATGTCAGCTAATGTGCGGTCGTCTGATGCTTTGCTGTCGAAGAAATATTTGGCTAGATCCGATCCGTAATCTTCACGACCGTGGAGAAAAATGACAGTGTGGGTTTGCATTTCTGCTGAAGGAGCAAGGATGGTGGTCGTATCGCTAGGAATAAATTCATCTGTAGGTGTATGGGTGGTTGTATTATCGCTGAGGTCGTCGCTTAATGCGTTTGTACTGACAGCACCGGCGATAGGAGGTCTGGTAACGTTTGCCATTTTTGATTATGTTTGCCTTGTGAAGAAGCAATTCGGAAGCGGGAGTGGTGAATTTTTATGATAAAAATGTTTCAAAGTCGGGTTTGGTGCGTGGATCCTGGATTTATGAGTTGTTAGTGCCAACCCTTGAACGGTTGGACTCTACTTTTTCGAATTTGGTACCGATCTCTATTAGCACTGCTTTTGCCACTAAATCTCCGGCGCTCCCTAGGCCCAAGAATAAATAACTTTGAACTTTGAAAGATCCTTGGGGTGAGTCTTTTAGTATAATAAACTGCAACTGGGACCCGCTAATATGTATCGCAGGAAGTATCTGCACGAAGCGCTTTTTCTATTCGTGTTAGTTTATCCTTTCATTATCTTATATCAAGTCAGTAGATAAAACTCTCGAGCGCCCATTTGGACCCTCTCAAAAACCATCTGTACAGGCTAGGTGTCTGTCTACATTAACCATCTATGAAAGCGAATTTCCCAGCCTGAAATTTAAGCGAGGCTCGGCGGGTGGCACTCAGGGGCAACACCCAAAGCACATTTTATCGAAATAAAAGAAAGCTTTTTACGTCCCAAAGAAACCCACGATACCTACATTTTTACAAGTAAACCAGATGATATTAGAAAGTCCGCCCTACGCAAGCATACTTTTCTGCTGGCTGCTCTCTGATGCATCGCGAAAGAGCAATAAGCTACCCAAACCGTGGTTTGCACTGTCACCAAAAACCGGCCCCGACCAGTGTAGAGAATAGTACAAAAACATTAATATTGGCCAATATGAGAGACCGCCACACGTACCGCAATATGAATTTGTGAAACTATATCGGTCGCTAATCAAAAGTCTACTTTAACCATATGATTTAGTTATAATAAGCAAAATTTGCTATGTAATTTATTTGAAAGGATAATAGTAATTAAGTGGTAAAAAGCCTTAAATCACCACGCACTTGCCGTCTCTAAATTATAAATAATAAGCAAGACCGGAAAAGTCGAGATGTTTATTTGGCTTGTTCCTGCCTTTAATATTAGTGCAACTACGAAACCTTATTATGGTTACGACAGCTAGATTGCGAGGACTTTCGGTCTTCTATACAACCAAACAGCAATAAAATAACACGTAAATATCAATTCGAAGATTCATTTGCAGGGTTCTAGGCATTACTAGTACATTGTCTTATTATTATACTATTGGCTACCAGCTTTCGCTGTGTAGACCCTGTTACGATGGAGTAACTACTTCAAGTTACAGCCTCTATGCAATTGCTTATAAGATATAGAAACAGAAGAATAGTTCGCTCCCCGTTTCGGTTTCGGTGTTCTTCCCGCCCCGGCAGGCGTTTCTCACGTTCCCCTCCCCGATTCCCTTTATTCCATCCCCAAGACGTTGAAACGACCCTCGATATTGCTATATACAAAACCGGCCATTGGGCCCTACACCTTCGTCCTCCTCGTGGTCGCCCAACTAGCCTCCACCAAATCAATAACGATGGCCACAGCTACTATGTTGGCCCTACAAGGTGGAGCTGCGCGCCGCAAAAGTCGCCGCTGCATGACGTTACGATTTTCGCTGGGAGAATTCGTTGGAAGCACTTGCGGTCCACTCGTAGAATGATGGAGAGGTGGCCTGTTGATAATACAGACCCTGAGTGGTGCTGTCGAACCTGGGTTTAGGAGATTCTGGACGAGTTGAAGGGAAGAGGGTGGCTTTTGGCAAGGGAAAGAGGTTTTGAACGACTGGAGAAATTCCGCTATTAGTTTCCAGGGATATAATCCTTGATGTACTAGCTGCCCATAGCTAGTGAGTAGACACCGAAAGAGACTCATTTCAGAAAATATTAATAATGACTCAAACCTCATATAGAGGTTTGATTGAAACCAATCCTGTATGTTTATTTTCTTTCTATATTCCACTCTTTTGTTCTTGAAGAGACGTTTCGAGACTGAAAGTAAGGTTTAATCAGTTTCAAGTTTTATAGTACAATTGTATCTTGAGATCGAACTTACCGCATGATAAATTTGGCAGTACCCTTGGGTAAGGGTTTGAGGTCTTGGAAGTGGTGTGAATGCTAAGGATTCCGAAGAAGACCACGTGAATGCCTAAGAATCGGTCCTCGACTTGTTTTACTCGTACTCGAGTAGCGCGCGCTTGCGAATATTTTCGGATTGTGGCCCGAAGAACCGAGCCACCGACACCTTCAAAATGAGCACTTGCAATGACCATCCCTGTGTTTGTTTATAGTCGCAAGCTACCTCAACTTTGTCAATTCTATTCACATTACCAATGACTTGATTTCAATTTAATAATAACTTTAAGATATGGCTTCTGGTTTAAAAGTCGGCCAACGTATCGAAGGGAAGGTGGGCACCTACGTCCTCTCAAAGCAACTTCATAAAGATATCTGGACAGCTATGTATCAAGCTCTGCCCCTTAATCGCTCCCCATCGCACCTAACACTAAATAGGAGTTCAAACTTGGGCAAGGTGATCATAAAGAGCGCACCTAAGTATCGCTTGGATAACGAACGTGATGTCCTCAAGCATTTTCATGCCCGGCCAGGAATTCGCCAGCTACTGGATGAGACACAAGACCCACCATCCCTAGTGCTAAAACACCTCGATGATAATCTCTTAACTGCATCAAATTCGAAAAGGCTTGAAAACCCCGAAATTAAGTTCATCGCGAAGAGGATCCTTGAAGCGCTACAAGCATTCCATGAGGATGGCTACGTGCATACTGGTATAGCTTTGCCCTCTCTCTATTTGCTTTATTGTTTTTGATCCTAGACATTACTAATACCAACCAAACTCTAGATGTCAAACCGGATAACATTCTCATAAATTATGGCAGCGGGCCCCGTCGATTGAGAGAGGTTGAGCTAGGCGACTGTGGCGACGCATGTCTTGTGAACCCAAAAGATCACCTGAAACTCGGAGAGAACGGACACCTGATTGGAGCTCATATGTTCAGGAGTCCAGAGGCTATGTTAAATCTGAGATGGGGCACTGCAACTGATATCTGGTCCTTTGGTACAACTGTGAGTGACTTAGATCTGCGTCACTGCAGTTTTATAGTACCGATCGTCTCGCTGACCTTTTTGCAGCTCATAAGCCTAATATGGGGATTAGGCTGGCATATCTTCAAGCCCGATCCTAAGGATGCTGGACCAGACGATGAGGCATATCCTAACCATGTTCTAGTGAAGCAAATTGCATTTTTCGGGCCTTTTTCACTAAGCTACTTTGATATTCTTCCAAAAGAGGATGAGAGATGGGAATTTATAGGTGATGCTACACAGTACATTATAGACCATCAAAAATGGAAGCCTTTTGCTCAGGCGGAGGATAAGGAACTTGCTGAGGAAGATAGGACGTTCATTTGTAAGATTATGAAGCTGGATCCAAGGGATAGACCAACGGCAAAGGAACTCTTGCAGGATCCGTGGCTTGGAGAGGTATAATATAGGGATCAATGTCTGTTTAAACGGGACACCAGGTACACTTGGGAGCTGGTGGAGTCATCTCTTGAGAGGCTCGAAATTGGCGGGGCACCACCAATCTCGCCTTCGTCTCGTCTTCCCAGCATTTGCGTCCAAATTCTCAAATTTTCTAATAACCTTGATCGGCTGTGGTCCCGCTCTACAGTCTCTCCTTGATACCTTCCTTCCACCTTCAACTTCCTGCTATCCGTGAAACTCCTTTGACTCCGTCTAAACCAACATTATAGTGTCACAAGTGTTTATCGACCAAATATCCGCAAGTCTAGGTTGCTAGGGCATGTCAGGCCATGCCTCAACTCGTTCTATGTGTAGTGATTCCATTTCAATGTTTGGAGCTACAGCAACTCTATCAAGGGGGGTGACTACTTGTGTGAGCCAAGGACTTGTAGCCTGTGATGATGCTAGGAGAGGCGGGGAGAGACGCATCTTAGCTTCTGTTCTGTGTGTAGTGATAGAGTATCTGTACATTGGATCGAGGTCGCATTGATATGATCGTTGGGAGGGGGACTGATCGACTCATAGTGTGGGCAGTACTTTTAGCCTGATGTTGGGAGGTGAAGCGATTTCCTCACCGTGACACCCTTCTTCATTACCACAAATCACAATGGCAGATCTGCAGAAGACGTGGACAATTGCTTCTCTATTACTCGCATCCTCCAAATATCCTCAAGACTTGATAAGCCGAAGGTCCCCTAATATGCAGGATAGCTAGCGTAGCGTTAAGGAGGGGTATCACGTAGGATACTCGTGACACGAACAAGATAATTGCAATCTTTAGTGCTTATACTATCTAACTAAAAAGCTTACATACATAGCTTTCTCGAACCCATAGTACATGTTTTTTATAGCCGTCTATATACCTTACGGTGCAGGTTGTGCTCTACCTATCAGCGAGAGGACCTCCCGGAAGGAATGCATTTACAGCGTCATGTCCACTATGATATAGCCGTAGGTAGGAGCAAATAGAGGGACATTCCACTCTAGCCCTACTTTCAATCCACCACATACTGCAACCTGCTTTGCGATACCATAGGTAGAGCAACAAAAGTGCGACTGGGTCTTTTTCCTGTAGTAAGGATTTGAAAGGCCCGCGTATGCTACGTGTGAAGAGCTCGATTTGACCTATTGTGACCTGGCTATCCGAGAGAGCCTGGATCTGGGATGCTGCATGTGCAGCATTGAAATACGCATTGTTTTCTGCCGTCGATGAGTCGTCAAGCTGGCACGCGATAGCTAAGCCCCTTGATATACCATCAATGCCTTTCTCTGGCAGTGGTGAGTACATTTGAGCATATATCGGCGCCAGAATGTGAAACAGACTGTCCGGTCGTAGCGGGTTAGTTATGCACCACAGTGACATTTTACCCTTTCTCATACGCAACCATTCCCAATCCGAGGGGTCGGGGGTCTTTAAAGGCCACGATTCTTCTGGTGTATAGGAATCAGGGGTCGAGAAGGTTAAGAGGGCCAGAGCAGCAGCTGTGCCCCAGATTGCATCCTTATCTTTCGTCTCAATCGGCTCCCTTAATCGTCGGTTGAAGAGAGCTGTGCTTTGATGCCAGTGATAGCACTCTTCTAGAGTGCGACGACTGCCGAACGGACTGTTCTGATAGCGGTCATACGCAAGCGCCACCGCTAGAGATGCGTGCATCAAGAAAGGGTGCTGAAAATCTTATGTTAGTCGATCTCGAGTCTCGTAATAGATAACCTAGTCCAAATATTGTCCGAAGGGACAGAAAGAATTTGATAAGACTTACGGTAAAGGCCAATATCAAGAGCTTGCGATTGACTTCTATCATATTAGGGTCATCCGGAGTAATAAGACTTCGTCCTAGGTACCGGGAGACGAATTCTTGACAGTTTGCGTCTAATTGATAGAATGTCGATGCATCAGATGTCCAAATAGCATTACTGAGAGGAGGTTGAAGTTCTGCTTTTTCTCGAGCGGCCACCAATAACCTTACGGAGTCATCGGCGACGGGCTGCAGATCAGGAATATTAGGCTTGAAATTGCATAATATCCCAAATGAACTACATCTCTTGCACTGCGGTTTGCCTTCGTCGCACTAGAAGTTTAAGCAAAGCTGGTCAGCTAAACGGCATTCTATAGAAAGTACAGACTACCTTGAGTTTTCTGAGCTTGCAATTTCGGCAGCCAAATCGCGACCTCCGCTTTTTCCTGCGTTCTGGAAACTCTGGTAAGCAAGTCGAAGCCATAGTTGGTTTGTCATTTAACGCTATGGGTAATTTGACAGCGAGGGCTTTTCCGGAGTCCGAAGGGATTGCCAGAACAATCCGTAGATGGTGGAGTCGGAGCGAGGACACTAGTTTCAGACTATAGGGTTCTTATACGCTAACTCACTTTCGGATAGTGAAGCTTCGCACTAGCCACCAACCGGGTGCAGAGATCTCTGATTGGCTAGTAGTTCCAACTCGTCTAAAAACTCCCATATATGATCAACACAAAATCCCATCAGACAGGCCGCGAATATAACGGACTTAGAAATGGCATTAAGACCACTTAGATGCCATATGTCTTAGAGTCTTGCAGGGCGGGCGGACGCGTATATAAGTACAAAGACATCCTCCTCGAAAGTGCAGAATAATCTCTTCTCAACAAGAATAATCGCTTCTCAATAAGTCTTTCAGTTATATAACTGACGCATCATCCTCAATCTTTTCTTGAATCTTATTACCAAGAGATAACATCATAAACTCCTTTATCCAAGCTAGGATAAAACCATAGCCCAGTTGACATACTTCATCGGTCCCAAACCTGCCACACACGAGTCACGACACAGAGCGCCATCCAAGACTCCTTCAACAAATCCCCCAGCTTGTACCATGACATCCCCGTTCGCCCTACCAGCAGCCCTTAACCCACCCATGATCGGCCGCGAAGCCGTGGTCGATGCGCTATACCGGTGCGTTATGGCCTTTGACACGAATGACACGGCCCTATTTAACTCGAGCTTTATGCCAGACGGCGTGTTTGAGGTCAACAGGCGTGCCATGGAAGGACTGCCAAAGATCCACGCCACAGGGCTCGCCCTCATTTTCTCGGTCGACACGACGCACCTGATGTCCAACGTGCGTGTTCACATGAGAACAGGAACTAGGAAAGACGGGGTTGCGCAGGAGAACGAGGCTAGCCTGACGGCTACCGGGCTTTCACAGCACTTCGCTGGGGGTAAGGGCATGGAGCCGGGTCAGAATAACTTGTTGGGAGGTAGCTTGTACCGCGGAGAGCTGACCAGGGACATGGACGGGCTGTGGAAGTTCAGGCACCTACAGATAAAGTCTACCTGGGTGCAAGGTGATTATAGCGTAGTTGGGGGTCCTCTCAACGAGACGGAGCAGTGAACACGCTGAGCTTAGTTTCAAGTATGGCCATGTACGCCAATTAAGTCCAACCTGTGATCCTTTTAGTTAGACATTCGTTATAGAACCAGCTACATACTCTCCTTGGGAATACTTACAGACTTTTGATTCCCGTCTTCATTCGCAAGATGCTCAAGATCGGGGTGCCTAAGCTTTAATGGGGCACTAGATGCAGTGTTGTTTTCAGAACCAAAAACATATATGCTGAGATCAGTTATGAGGCCTCTTAGGCCGCCAGATCCATTGACGTCAAAAGGTGATAGATTTTCGTTCCTTGAAGCAGATGAGTGCAAAAGTTTCTTCGACGTCTTCAGTAGTCGCAATTTCGATCGAGAGCTGTGCCTTTGGTCCTCGTAACCACTCACTCTGTCGTCATGAATCTTGACCACTTTTCCTTTCCTTCTTTACTACCCCAAGCCTCGACAAAAAGTCTAGGGCCTTCTCGTAGAACAGGCCAGCAGAGCCAATTGCAAGCGCCCCACTTTGCGTACTTGTTGTCTGTTCTCCAACCGCCCCCCTTCAGAAGCTCAAATATGCGATCGGCGATAATGTAGCGGGTTAATCCATGCATGACGACGTAAGCGCGGCTCTCACGTGATGGCCATGGCATTATTGCCTGTTTGGGTGCCGCGCTTACCCATTTCGGATGGCTCACTTACCTCTTGCGTTCAAGCTTCTGGGTTACATAGCATACAATTCTTAGGTATGGGACACGGTACAAAATGGTATAAAACTACTGAGTCGTCTACGCAACAAGCTCGACAGAGATGTCAGTTCTTGATTTCAATAAAAACAGATAGTTACTTAAACATACGCTTGTTGTTCCCCAAGTTAAGATGAATCCAGTCAACACCAAAGAGTACAAATTACCATCCAATGCAACCTGGTTGAGTGAGTATATTCCCATAACCCAATTCAGCAACTCAATACTAACCCCTAAAGTCACCGGCTGCTCATCAGGCATCGGCCGCGCGCTGGCCACCTTAATAGCCAGCAAGCCAAACCAATGCCTAATAGCCACAGCCCGCACTCCATCTAGCCTCTCCTACCTCCCCTCTACCCCCAACATCCTCAAACTAGCCCTCGACGTAACATCCCCCAGTTCCGTCAACGCTGCCTTCGCTGCCGCTACAGAGCACTTTGGCAAGGGTTTCCACCTCGATGTTGTAGTTAACAATGCAGGGTATTCCCTTTCAGGCGACACTGAAGCTGCGACCGAGGAGGAGATGCATCTGGAGATGGAGACGCTGTTTTTCGGCACCGTGAGAGTCACAACGCGTGCGGTTGAGAATATGCGGCAGGCAGATGATCATCGAGGGGGGCTGATTTTTAATATATCATCACTTGCTGGGTTTCTGGGGTTGCCAGGTCATGCTTTCTACCATGCAAGTAAATTTGCTGTGGAGGGGTTTTCAGAGTCTGTTGCGAGGGAAATGCATCCGGATTGGAATAGTAAGTCTACACGTTCCTTTTCCTTTCACATTATACCTTCGGATTTGTGGACACACGCAGGTATTGAAAGGAGCGCATACGAATATAGTTGTGGCTAATTCACCATCCTAGTCAACTTCTGTATCGTCGAACCAGCCGGTGTCAAGACCGAATTCGAAGGCCACAGCAAAGCACGTATTGCACCGCATCCCGCATACGCTGCGCCCGACATGCCTGCTCGGATCCTGGAGTCATATGTCAACAAAGGCATCAAGGCCGGTGCTGCTTCCCTCATGGAACCTTCCGCTGTTGCGGAGACTATCTTCACTATCGCTAACCGTGGGGAGCGTATCCCGCTGAGGTTGCCTTTGGGAGCGGTGTCGTGGAAGATGGCGAAAGCTTCTCTGGAAGGACGATTGGGAGATCTGGATAAGATTAAGGGTGTGAGTGCTATGGGGAAAGAGATTTAAAGATGGTTAAAAGGACGTAGAATACACGCGTATGGACGCGAAAAGTTGAAGTCTCTGTAACTCGTCGAATATGAATCTAGAGAGAAAGTCAAACTATATAGGTAGGTACCTAGTTTTCAAGAAATAGCGCGATATTGTAATCAAACGACCCGCCTCCGGGCTTGAGGAATCAGATAGAATTAAGGTAGGAACAGAATGTGCTTGGTGAGTGCGCTATAATTAGAGTGGACGTGCACTAAAGCTTTAGCGATTATCACCCCATAGTTATTAAGCGATATAGGGGGGAGGTCCAGGCCATACTACTTAATACCGGTATTCGCCATATTAAATTCTAGCTTCACTTTTGAAACCCCA